CACAGAGTTAGAACCCCTTTGTAGTTGTAATACATGGATCCCTGTTGGTGGGACACCCTACATGCACGGGCTTTCCAATCTAGGGCCCCCATGTATGGGAAAGTTCGCACCTCTGGGTCATGAAGTTGTCTGATATGGCACCCATCCTCAGGAGTGGTGGGCCAGGTCATTACCTCTCCACTGTACTCATCAATGATGGCTTGGCAGACTCCGGACCGACGACTGAGATGAGTGTTGGTGGTACTCTCCATCCGTACTGCATTGTCGAGTACTTTGGTACCGAAGGCAGGTGGCCGCAAGTGACGCCAGGTTCGGCCAGGGTCAGGGCAACCTGTACTTGTGTTTTTGCTTCGGATGCGAGGACCAACTCTTCCGGTAGAGTCATCGTACATTTCGGGGGATCCTCAATGAAGTTCTTGAATGCACCTTCGTCCTCGTTCCGGAGCTTTCACCAGAAGCTGGTCGTAGAGACCAAAGTGAAGGCGCCTGCTAAATCCATGTCTAACCCACAACTCTTCTTCTTCTTCTTCTCCCCCTTCTGTTTTTTCTTTTTCTATTCTGTATGTGTTGGAGTTGCTAAATTGACCGATTATACTATGTCAAGAACAGCAAGAGGTAGCTTCCATGTTGTCACCTCGGAGGTCAGCAACACTGACACCGATCTAGAAAAGGCCACTATTTATGCCATTCTCAACACGCATGTAAGTACGCAACTAACACGGCCAACTCACACGCAAACTAATAAGGTTGGCGATACGCAGCGCGCATAGGTTGGCGATACGCTGCGGATACGAAATAGCGTTGGTGGTACGCTACACACGCAACGATCGCAACACGATCGCAACATGATGCAACAGGTACGCAACACATTCGCCAACATGTACGCTACCAAACCGGGCCAGATACCTCAAATTGAGCCTGCGATCACCTGCGTTCATAACTTAGAGGTTGCTTACCAGTTCGCGATCGTGTTGCGATCGTGTTGCCGTGCGTAGCGTCTTGTTGCTCCTGTTGCGTATAAATTGATCGCAGGCATTCGCAGATAATTTTATTGAACAGCTTCAAATTTTCTGAACTTACTCTCGCCGTGTGTCTGCGATCCCTGCGTGCTTGTTCCGTACTTTCAAACCTATTAAAACTATTTAGTTGCGTGTGAGTTGCTTCTAACTTATGCCACGTATTATTTTTGATTCAGCAACCATACGCAACTGGTTGATCGCTATGGGTGTGACGGCCACACCTTTTAAGGAATAGTACAGTAACTCCACGATAGCGGAACACTAGTACGATGTTACGTACACGACGCACGCACGCACACACTCATGCCACGCACGTGCTGTCACGTGCACACGCCACGCACGCAACGTCTACAGTCGCACATGCATGACACGCACGCTGTACCTGCCACACACACGCACGTACGCACGGCACGCACACGATGACAACGCTGTACCTGCCCAAGCACGCCCGCACGCACACGTGTGACCTGCACACACGCCACACACGCACGCACGCACGCAGGCACGTGGCCACGTTGACACACCACGACGCACGCACGCATGCACGCACGATGCTACGTGCACACGCAACATTGCACGCACGTGTACCGTGAACCACGACGCACGCCCGCACGAACGCACCGGCTATACGACGACACACCTACGCACGCACGCACCACGCACGCGGTCATGGGAATATCATTCCTCACAGAGCCTGGTGACATCGGCGTGGTCATGGAAATATCATTCCTCACAGAGCGTAGTGACATCGGCGTCGTCATGGAAATATCGTTCACTTCATTTCTCACCCTTGCATACCAGCGCCTGAGTTGCTTCACCTAAAACGTGCCCCAAACCTATTTCCAACGATGATGAAATCATATCCCATTAAATTTACACCGTAAAACACTAATTATTATTGTCATTAGGGAAGTGTGAGAAACGGCGTAATGCTACGAGCACACCCACTGTACGAGATGTTGTTTCACAATCGCAATAAGGCAATCCTTCAAAAATCCTTCAACAGTTTCGATATTCGAGATAAAGACATAAAAACCGACCTTCTTTATGTCCGCATCACCGAACGTGTAACTCTTGCTTCCCGTCTTCGGAACGAGCGGCGTGTTGATCCCGCTAGTAAATACTAGACATGCAAACCCGACCGAGGTCTGCGCCTGAATGTTGTTGTTAAACATGCTAATCTGTAAGGAAACACAGGGAGTCTACGTGAGTCTGCACCGACATTTACGGTGGAAGCTGTGACGAAGAATCAAATCTAAATAAACCGATAGCCGTCCGCCGCACGTGGATCATGGTCCCACGATTGTTACCCTGCTCAGAGCCCCCAGGTGTTTAATTAAACACGAGCAGATGTCATTCGTCTGGAAATTTCTTCTTTGAAATGCTGTCAGTATTGCCTAAACTGGGCGAGAGTTATTTCTTTCTCTGCGTATATTCATTGCACATACGTGTCTTGCTATGCAATGCAGATTAACCAGGGTTGTGCTGTAACTGCCATGCATGTATTACAGATGCTGCTATGTATACGCTCCACACGAGATACACGGCATGCCAAATTCACGATTTTGACAAAGACAAAGGTTGAATGTCACGGATCTCCAAAATTCTACAAAGAGTGCAGAAGGCTGTTTTTTTTTAACTTACATAGGCTGTGCTTTGCCTTCAAAAATTTCTGTTAATTCCACTGGCAGATAGCTGTCTTCTTGAGACTTTGGGCTCACCTTGACTCGATGCATTCTCACAATCTGGCCGACCTCCGTGACCTTGGGTAGGGCTTCCTCGTTTCGACAGAACAGGCTGCATTTCAATTTGACCGCATCAATGCAGGAAGGATCGACCAAGGAAAGCATCATATGAATATCTGTCAATAGCAGACAAAAAAGTTATTCTGCATGAACGCAGGCACGCATGCATTCACGCTAGCGCGCACGCACGCACACACACAGATGATCCTTCATTGGTTATTTATTTACCAAAGCATTTAAACCTAGATTTACTTTGCTCTCTGTCTCTCTCTCTCTCTCTCTTTCTCTCTTCTGGAATACTCAGCGTCCACATTTCAGCAAGGTCACACCTATTGAAGCTCTATGCTACACTTCTCCTGCTCATCTCACCTGGTCCCCTGCAGCGCTGAGGTGGTCTGTAGTACTTCACAACTCCCCATATATTAACAATCGTGTCAGCCATTATGTTGCTGATCCTTGTGTATACATACGTCATGCCCTGCATTGTAAACATACGAGCATTTTATTCTTGCTATGCGTAGCCACTACAGTTACTTCGATCGATACAACTGAAATAAATTATATAGGCGTCTTATAAGTAATTATGTCACTGTAAATAGTAAATGTAAAAAAAATATTTCCACTTTTTCACAAAATGCCAGTAATTCTGTTTACTTTTTTATGATTAAATTTTTGCATTATAAATCCCAGTTAGCGATTATGTAGCGTCTACACGACGAACCTTAATTCGAGTTAAGCTAAGTGCGTACATGTGCGTGCATGTGTGCGTGTGTGCATGTGCAAGTACACGTGCGTGCATGAGTGTGTGCGTGCATGTGCAAGTACACGTGCGTGCGTGAGTGTGCGCGTGCGTGCATGCGTGAGTGCGTACATGTGCGTGCATGTGTGCGTGCGTGCGTGTGTGCGTGCGTGCATGTGCACGTACACGTGCGTGCGTGCGCGCGTGTGCAGGTACACGTTCGTGCGTGCGTGCGCGCGTGTGCATGTGCACGTAGGCGTGCGTGCATGCGTGTGCACGTACACGTGCGTGCGTGCATGCGTGTGCACGTACACGTGCGTGCGTGCATGCGTGTGCACGTACACGTGCGTGCGTGCATGCATGTACACGTACACGTGCGTGCATGAGTGTG